CAAATTACAGTTGACTGCAGATGAAACATACTACAAGCAACCTACAGGAAGGATATTTGTCTACGAGCGATTTTCTTTTGATGAAATGGAAAATTGTAAAAAGCAAATTGACTTACTGTATATGTTTTATTAGAAGCACATCTTCTATAAAAGTGCATATAACTTTAAAATTGCTTTTTTGTATTAATTATTAAATTATTACTTATTTTTTACCGTGGAAATGCTTCTGTAATTAACATAAGCATGTCTGCATCTTATAGGGAAAATATGGTATATATATATTTTGATATTTCCCGCTTAAAATAATAATAAAGATTTTAGTTTAATAGATGTACTGTACTATCTTAGAATTGTAGTTGATTTAAGTATGATTGTAAACTCAATTCATGTTTGTTATAACTGTATGTAATTATTGTATAACAATATGAAAATACTACGATGACATTCCTTGATTTTACTTACTGGAATTTAACACTGAAAACAAAAAATCACATTTGTTATATACTGAATCATTAACGTTTTTTATAATTTACATAAGCTACTGATAGAGCAAATATGGAAGGTCATATGCACTTATAATTTCTGTATGTCGTCTGAGGGGTGTTAATTTATTTTGGGTGGGGGGTGTGTGTGTCTATCACGGTATTCTCTGAGGCCAATATTGATTTATAAGTTTTGCAGTTTAAACAAAATTTTTTTTTAATTTATTTAAAAGAATCCTACTTTCACATGTGTAATCTTGTACATAAAATACCTTTTGTTTTTTGGCGAATTTTGAAAGTTTGAGAACACCTCTAAGTATCAACCTTTGTAGGTAGTATGTTATTCCGATATTAAGTATTGATGTTGGCGGTTTACTCCACTCTCTAATTATATCTCATCCATGTTGTGATAACACATTCTGAGACACATCATTAAAAATAGAAGACTAAAATAGAAGTAAAGAAACACTCACTTAAGTCTTTATTTTGACAAAAACACTGTACAAATTTGTATGGTATAATTTACGCTGGTAGATTGTTATCCAGAGATCTCTTTGCTGATAACAGATTATCTGATGGTATTTTGAAATCCACTCAGTTGGTGTTACTGTATGAATAGAATACAGATAATTGCTAATTGGCACAATCTTGTATTTAAAACTTAAGTTAAATTAGCTATTATTAATTTAATTAATAAAATTATTATTATTAATTAAAACAGTAGTTTAATTACTATACATGTACATACCAGGATGACGACTATAATGGTGAGATGACGATATATTTTAACGCCGATTTACACAACGCAATTCTGAGGCATCGCATACATTGCCTTAAAAGCCAGCTCAGACATATGTGTAGCGAAATGATAAAAAAGTCAATTTTATTGAAAAAAATGATATGAAAATGTTTAACAAATACATTTTAATACACTGCTTGAGTAATTATGATACACCCTCCTTCACATGCACGTACTGCAAAGTTCAGCAAAGGTCATTTGTTATTCTTTTGTTGTTTTATGTAATGTGTGGATAGGTAAAAACTAGACATGATTAGTATTAAGTTACATTATAACAACTGTTAGTTTAACCAATATAGTGAGGTACCCCACCTGTTGTCCTATTTCACATGTTTAAATTACCGTGTCCTTCAGTAAGAGTTCACTCAGTTACCTTGCTCCAACTAACTCGGTTGAACTCTTTGGTCATCAAAGTCATGTTTTGTCATGATTCAAAATGAACACTTGCATCAATAGACCATTTTCCATTCGCTAGTGCAGTATACTGTGGCATGAAAATTTTAATTATACCGTGGTGTTATTGTGATTAATTATGCATGAAGACTGAACCAATTCATGCAAATGCTAGAATGGCAACAGACATTTTTATACCTGTTGAAAGACTTTGTTCAGGGAGTAAACTTGCATACCATTCACAACAAATCACCAAAAAGCCACGGCAAAGTAAGATAGTTTTGAAAATGTTCTTTCATCTGTTCACGTGGTCCGTATTTGATATGTTTGATGCGTTAAACTATGGTTGTGTCATGCAGTTCTGTTTTTCGCAAGATTTTATAATAATGACCAACTTTTTAGGCTATTCATGTTTTCCACTATATCACATTCTGACTCAAAACATATACAGATAATTTTACCTGTGTAGTAACTATACCCAGGCATCAGTCTCTTTCATTTGTAAATTTAACTCGCATAGTATGGTTGAAAAGCTGTTGGAAACCCTATTAACAAGAAGTACGGTACCTACTTTGTCTACTTTCTTTTCATAGTCTTTTACATTATGCGTTGTAATAATCGTTTGACCCCGTCATTCTGTAAACAATATCCACAGAGGACCATATGAGACACCCCTCCCCCAAACTGTTTGGATTTCAAAGTAAGTTTTTATGAGAATAATAATCAGTTTGAGTCAAAATTTATATATATAAAGTAAATTAATTATTTATATGTCACAGCTGAAGTGAGTTCCATTAAGGATATTGTTTGCGAGCGTCCAATTTGTTTCCGTATGCATTTCGTAGTGTTTGCTAACAATGCTTACGAGGTGACTGTTTGGTGGAAGTCTCTTGGGTGGTGGAAATATTCGGATTTTAAAAGATTCTGTATTAATAAAGGCAGTCCAATATAGATGATTGCTTTGAGTAATAATAATAATAATAATAATAATACGAGAATGAGAATATTGAGTATGAGAAGTATAAGAATAGAAGAAGGTCACTATATTTCGCATTTCCTAATATGGTAGGATGAAAATACCCAGTGCAATATCACAAAATTATGGCACGCTGTAACTTATGGCATTAAGGTGACAGTTGTATAATAATGATTATTAGCAACTTTGTACAAAATAATTCTCAGTTATGATAGTTACTATAATATAGCAGATAATATTTGGTAATTCGAAATAGCTAGATGTTTGGAACAAATGTTTTTTTTTATCGAAAGCATAGAATTCATGATAGTACATGTAGCTATGTTTATTATCCCTGTTGGACGTACTCTAAAATGGGGAATTATGTTTTTGGTTCAGTTCGTGTGAGTGTCCGACATCATCTGTCGGAATGCCTGGACTGTTTGGTACGAAGACAAATCATATTTGTTTTCAGTTGCATGTTGATTTGACTTGTTGCCTTTAACTGACTCGTAGTCAGTTTGTTCCAAAAAACACCTTAGATAAATTTTGGGTACTTTTATTTATGTGAAGGCATTTTTTTTACATATAGGCAATTTATTTGTGCATGCTGCTACATGTACATGTATATGTTATAATAGTGTTACTTTATCCGAATATTGGTATCGATATACTGTAAAACTATTTATTTTCACTGACATTTAATTTAATTTTGATGTTTTGAGCATTGTCAATGAAACAATAAGTGATTTTACATGTTCACGAAGATTTAATTTAGCAAATTTTACTTATCAGCGAAAAATAGCGAAATTAAAAGCCAGTGAATAATGAATACATTAACAGTAAAGTAAATGAAGTGCAAGTGAAATAAATGAAATAAAATCAAATCATAATCTATTAATCACTGTTTATTCTATGTGACATCACAAGAAAAAATAATTCAACAGTTCAAATCATTAGTTTTTGTCAAGGCTTTACTTATTTCTGCCATGTTTTGCCCCAAAACATCACAAGGCTATATCTCTTCTTTTATTAAAAAATAAATATAAGATATTAAAAAAAAGTATGATACAAGAAAACAAGTACGATTTTTTTGTTCAA